GCCTCATTGCTGATTGTTTGTCTTTTCCAGATATATCTGGTACTGATAGTACTGGTGTGTCCATCAGTGTTCCCTTATTGCGCATAAATGATTCCTACTCTTTTAACGGCTTTGCTTTTGAGTATGAGTATTGGAAAATGAGATGTTTCTTTCCGTCCTGTACATGTTTTTTCATATGGTGTACGCATGTCATGCAGTTTACAGAAATGCAGAAGATATGAACAACCACTCAGTTTGCCTGCATGTTCTTGCAGATTCCATTCGTAGGTATAATATGCTCCCTTCTCGTCTCTATCCCTCCATTTCTATTTCTCTAGTAAACTAATTTCCTTGTGTGCCTGCATGTTCCTTTTATATGTATTTCTCATGTGAACTTTCATCTGACACTGGTAAATGGAAATTTGTTTCCCAGTGCAGGGTTGATATTGGCATCTTGGTTTCTGTCTCTGGGGTAAATACTGTTCATTCTCTCTACTTCTCTTTTCTGTTTCCCCTGATTTTTCTTCCTATGTGAGATCTGTTTTCAACTGTGTAGGGTTCAGAATGCAGAAGTTTTGTGTTTCGGACTAGTTTCAGTTGCAGTTTTTATGCTTGTAATGCCACTATTTAGAGCGAGTGGTGGTATTCTACTCCAAATGGCACCACCAAACGTTCCAACTTCTGCATTGAGCAAATGCTGGCGACAGGTAGTGTGAATTTATTGCAGTATGGTTTAATATTATGTTTTGTTAGTATTGGAGTTATTGATGTTTAATTTGGCATTATATTTTTTGTCAGATTACTGCTCGCGAAGATGTTTCTGAAGTTTCTCAAGCACGGTTTTGGGAATTGGTTCCTGGTCATGTTGTTGGCTCACTTTCAATACAGGTAACAATCATTGGAAATTAAGTTCTATATTTCTCAGTAAGGATATGCTACCTTTAGGGGCTGATTTTAGTTGGTGATGCTAACAGGTAAAGAAAGGGATAGATGATCGCCCCATACTTCAATTAGTGCATGGTTTGTACCATGATTTGGGAATACAGGACTTGACAGTGCAAGCTGACAATGTCTGAGAGTTTTGTTTCTGGTTTCGGCGTTGATTGACATTTAGTGAAGATGGTATTGGGTTGAAGTCCGAGATATAGATTTGTTCCCACTTTCATTTGAAACCATGGTATTACCAGTTGGCGAGTATTAGAAAATATAAGAGAGGAGTTTGATTGGATCCATGTCATTGTAATGAAATATTATTCTCTTTTATTGAAGAAAAT